CCTGTTCGAGTTTCGCTTTATGACTTTCGGTCTCCGTAATGCTGCCCAGACGTTTCAGCGTTTTATGAATGAGACTCTAGGTGATTTTAATTTCGTTTTTGCGTACATCGACGATATTTTAATTGCGTCAAAAGATGAAGCAGAACACAGAATGCATTTGCGACTGGTTTTAGATCGACTTAGAGAAACTGGTTTGACCGTGAATTTTGCCAAGTGTAAGTTCGGCTGTTCCGAGATCGAGTTCCTTGGGCACGTTATTAGTGCAAAGGGTTTACGTCCTCCGGAGAGTAAAGTTCAAGCTGTTCGTGATTTTCCTCTGCCAGCAACGGTGAAACAGCTTAGACAATTCTTAGGCATGGTGAACTTTTATCGGCCGTTTCTGCGTAACGCTGTGCAGAATCAGCAGCGGTTGTTTCATCTTACACCAGGTAACCGCAAGAATGATAAGTCGGTGATTTCTTGGACTCCAGAAGATGTAGAGGTTTTTGAGGCTTGCAAGAATGATCTTGCCCAAGCTACGTTGCTTAACTTCATGGCTCTGGATGCACAATTGACGCTCACGACTGATGCTTCAGACGTTGCGGTGGGTGCTGTTCTCCAACAAGTAGTGAAAGGTGTGACTCAGCCATTGGCATTTTATTCAAAAGGTTTGAGTTCAGCGCAGACTAAGTATAGTGCTTATGATCGTGAGTTGACTGCTATCTATCAAGCTGTCCAGCATTTTAAGTATGCATTAGAGGGACGTGATTTCGTCATTTTTACGGATCACAAACCATTAACGTTTGCGTTCAGGCAAATAAGTGAGAAGGCATCTCCTCGTCGTGCAAGACAGCTGGAGTTTATTAGTCAGTATTGCACTGATATTCGTCATCTGGCTGGTGCAGATAATACGGTGGCTGACTCTTTGTCTCGGGTTGCTACGGTTCAGTTGGAGGCAAATGTTATTGAGTTAATTGCTGAGGGGCAGAAGACTGATGCAGAGTTGCTCGCTCAGCTGAAGAGCCAGTCTGAAGATGGTGTTGGGTTGAAGAAGTTGAGATTGCCGGATTCGAGTATTGAACTGTACTGTGATGTGTCAGGCAGTCGTGTTCGTCCTTTTGTTCCCGCAAACTGTCGGCAGCTGGTACTCTCAAAACTCCACGGTTTGGCTCATCCTGGTATTCGAGCAACGCGGAAATTGGTGCAGGCTAGGTATGTTTGGCTTGGTTTGGTTAAGGATGTAGCTGTGTTTGTGCGTAGTTGCATTGCGTGTCAGAAGTCCAAGATTCAGCGGCATACTAAAACACCAATTGGTTCGTTTGCTGATATTGATAGTCGGTTCCAGCATGTTCATGTTGACATTGTGGGTCCATTGCCTTTGTCTCAGGGGAAGCGTTATTGTTTGACTTGCGTCGATCGTTTTTCTCGGTGGCCTGTTGCTGTGCCTCTGTCGGGCATTACGGCAGAAGAAGTTGCAGCGGCTTTTATCGACGGTTGGGGGGCAAGTTTTGGTTCTCCGCAGGCTATTACCACTGATTTGGGTCGGCAGTTTGAGTCTGCTGTATTTCGGGAACTGACGAGATTGCTTGGAGTGAAACACTTTCATACCACGGCTTATCATCCTCAAGCAAATGGCATGGTTGAACGTTTCCATAGAACATTGAAGGCAGCCATTCGATGTCATTCCTCAAGTAATTGGACGCAGTCTCTTCCGCTTGTGTTGTTGGGATTGCGAACGACACCGAAACTAGACCTAAATGCTAGTCCTTCAGAGATGTTGTTTGGAAATCCTCTTTGTGTTCCAGGGCAGATGCTTTCGGATTTCAAGCAGAAGTCGTCCGAGACTGATTTTGTGTCGGCGTTGCGAAGGGCTTTAGCTAAGGTTAAATCCGTTGAATCAACAAGACATTGTCATCCATCTGTGTATGTTCCGCGTGACGTTATTAATTGTAAGCACGTTTTTCTTCGAGTGGATCGGGCTCGAGCTCCACTTGAGCAGCCTTACGAAGGTCCATTTGAGGTGCTGAGTCGTAATGAGAAGACGTCTGTTATTGTTTGCCGTGGGAGAGAGGTGACTGTTTCGAATGATAGGTTGAAGGCGGCGTACTTAACGTGTGATGATCTTGAACAGGTTGTTCCAGAAACGCGTCAGCCTTCAGCGTTGTTGAATGGTGATCAGTTAGTGACTTCTGGTGATTGTAGGCGTGAATCCCTGTTGCCGATTCCGAAAGTGACACGAGCTGGTAGAGTAGTGCGTTTCCCAGCAAGGTTAGCGGAATTTCGGGATTAAGAGTGGTGTTGTCGACTTAGTTGTGGTGTCGCGTTGTTGCTAGTACTCCATCGCTAGGAGGGGGTACTGTGGCGACCCAGTTGGCTGTGCATTTATTGAATTTAAAAAGTAAAATTCAATTTCAAATATTTTTAAGTTTTTTGTTTTGATTGAGGAGAACGTTTCGATTTTTCTCTCTGTAAAAAGTTGAATAAAAGTTTATTAACATTGAAAATTTTTAGAGTTTTATTAATTAGCAAGGTGAACAGATCATTGCTAAACTTCTATAATTTTTTAAAGTCAAATATCACGCGTCTTATAACGAAAAGAAACTGTTTTTAAGTTAGAAGGTCTCGAACAGTAATGAAGCGACATTACCAAGTGCTCATATCAGTAATCTTAAGGAAATATTCGAATTTTCATTTAATTCATTTATAGTCCGTATATAATTTATTGGATATACTATTTATTGAATACAATATAAGATTTATAATGATTATATGTTAAATATAATGAGCTTTATAATACGGTACTGTCTCTTTTTACAGAAATGAAAATAGATTGACATAATGCCCAGCTGTTGCTATTTAACTCAATACCGAATTTATTATGGTTTTATATACATTAATCCAAGCGGAAGAAGCTAATATATACTCAGTGGTAACAATAATATTTATCTTCAAAAACATAATAATATGTAATACTTTTGTGGAAAGTAATCGTATTTTATTTATAATTTATTTGTATTACTAACAGCCTTTCTATTCTTATATACAATGAGTTGCATTTTTAGAATACTTTCAAAAGAGCAAGACAAAGAAAGAGCAAGGATGGGACATATACCAGAAAGTAGTATATCGATTTTTTTGAATCAAATTAACATGGAGTTATATTAATAGAAATATGTGAATAAATCCTAATAAAAAAAACTAAAACTAAAACTTAACTAAGCGTTAACTCAAACGTATGATTAAGTTGTCTCTTGCCTAACATTAAACTTAATAATTGTTGGAAAATTCTAGCTTTGTTGCCTGCCTTTCATAAAGCGTCAATCAATCTTGTGACCACCACAAACGCCTTTCGAAATGAAAATGCGGTACAACTGGCAAAACTCCAACAGTAAATCTTTTGAATACTCAACTTAAATGAAACAATTTAGATTAAAAATCTTTAAGATTTTGAAAGTATTTTAATCCTAATTTTAATGGAATATGTTCGTTTTGATATAAAAGGAATGAATTACGTCGCATCCTAATACTCAATTTTTTTTTAAACTATTAAGCTAAGGTTCAGATCTATTAAAAGAGAAAAACATATTGACCTAGTTATGGTTGATATGAATAAGATGTTTAAGTACCCTTTGCTATTTGTCATCAGTCAATTTCTTCTGTATAATCTAAGTGCTGGTAATTATTTTCAAAGTATTATCTCTGAAACGTATGAAGTTCAAGAGACGATAAAGTATAGCAATACACGATAATGTTGAAGGATCGTCCTCAAACACATGAAGCTTTTCAATTCTGGGATTCGGTTTGGAAGTCAAAAAAAGACATGAATTATTAGTATCCTTATTTCGAATAGTTATTATATACAAATACGAAGTATGAATTTTCAAACTATATTTAGTAAATACTTTGGCAAATATATAGCTTTCTACAACTTAACGATTAATTTATTGAAATCCCATAAAATTTGAAACTAGATCATAAAATATAAAGCCAGAATTTTAGAATATATAGTAAAACGGCAGCATTTGAAATGGCTATGATATATACAAAGAGACAAGTAGCAAACACTATAGTACCGGTATGTAGAGACAGATCAGGAGATGGATTGATAGTGTGCTATTTTAATAAATTGGGTATATGTCAAACCAAATTTCTTGGCCATTGAAAGATTAATATACTGAATACTGAAATGCTATGAAACAAAAAAGTCTGAGTGCTGGCATAATTTTCCAAATAAGTTCTAAGGAAATATACTACTATAGTTTTTATTGAATTTGTTGTCGATTTTTAAACGGACTTTCTATTTACTGAAATCTTTTGAGGTATTGAAAGTAACTCCACCCCTATAAATTTATTTATTTTGCATGTGTATGTGATCAAACACTAAGTCGTTTGGGCTTATAAAATATTTTTTACTTAACATTTAAAACCAGTATTATTGCAATTTTTTTCTTCACCTACTATATTATCACAATATTTTTATTAAACATCAGAATCGACGGCTTAAATGAACTCGATGTCATCACTCTTATCTGCGTTTCCAGTTTTTGTAGAGATAAAAATACAATAAAAAAATAATAAAAAGCAGACACTTTAGACCGCTTTGGCGCATCTATGGAGTCCTGAGAAGCATTTATAAGGAGACCCATCTGTTGTGAACTCCAACCAACCAAGCAACTACATAAATAATTACTTTATAGTGAATAATATTTATTCAATTT